TGATTATGTGCAACATCAAGTGTTAATAATTGTATAAGATGACCAACTGTAATAGGTAATGAACGAATACGATTTTCACGTAAACTTAACATTTGTAAATTCTATTGAAAAAGAAACTCATTTATTAATTATTATTATTATTTTTTTTTGTTTACTTACAATTAAATTTCGAATTGTATCTGATACTTCTTTTATACGATTAAAACGTAAATAGAGTGTTGTTAAACTAGTTATTCGATAGATAACTTCTGGTATCTAAAAATCATATTTAGTTTTTTTAGTATAAATTCTTTTTAAACGAAAAAATTTCTATTTTACATCATTAAATCTATTATGTCGTAAATCAAGTACTTTTAATTGAACAAGACGATCCATTGTATCAGGTAAAGTTGTTAATGAATTTTCACTTAATGCTAAGACTTTTAAATTAACTAAATTACCAATTTCAGGTGGTAATTGTTGAATACGATTACTATATAAATATAATTCTCGGACATGTGTTAACTATAAAAACAAAATAATAATCACAAAAAAACAAAAACAAAAACAATATTTCTACTTACATCTTTAATTGTATTTGGTAGAATAGTAACACTACTTTTACTTAAATCAAATCGTTCACTTTGCTCATCACGACAATTTTGTATTTCTCGATTTATGTCCTAAGAAGAAAAAAACATACAATCAATTGTTAAATATATAATTAATGCGATGCACGACTTCAACTATAAATCACATTCATTAATTCTTGAAATATTCCTTGCACAGTTCATATTAAGAGAAAAAAAAAATAAAAGTGAGCTTTTTTGAGTGAAAAATAAAAAGAATTACACAATAAATCATATAGAGAGTGAACCGCCACTTTTTCTCACTAATCTGATATCGACGAAACTTTCAGAGAACGTTCTTCTATATTTGGAATATGCACTCAAGAGAAAACCACCTCGCGTTTGTGACAAGACTCCAGCATTATGTAGGGTTTGCTGAGAGTAGAAGAAATCTAGGAGGATTCTTCTCTATGTACTGTTCTTTCGGAGTTATGAATGTTACAGTGGCCCTTTTATCTTTGGTGTGGTTTTAATAAAAAAACTCAAACAAACGAATTTCGGCCTAAAACGTTGCCCATATACAGCTCTTGACGTCATTAGAATTTTCTAAGAATTTCAGCAAAAATGAGTGATTTTTCTTCGCTGAAACTTTTGAGAGATTCTAATGTTGTCAAGAACTATCAATGAATAAAGTTTTAGACCAGAATTTATCTTTTCGGTTTTTTTTTTGTTAATACTGTGCCAATGGTAAAAATTGCAGTGTAACGGCCATAACTCGAAAATGACAGCACATGAAAAAGAATCCTTCTAACTTTCTTCTAGTCTTAATGGGTTCGATGTAATGGCCTCAAACATGAGGTATTACCTCAAATGATTTCTTTGTCACTAACTTGAAATACTTCTGGGCTGAGATAAAGGTTTTTCAAAAACCTTGCTTTTTCACGATTTGTTTTTTTTTGTCACAGAAATACTTCGAGAGAAAAATCAAGACATATTTGAAATCAGAGTGAAAAGCTGTATCAAGTGATGTACTGCGTGTCAATTTTTTAAAGTATAAAATTTGTTCATAGGAGTTTCGAGTAAGAGCCCCCTCAGGGATTTTCCATTGCAAATGGCTTTTTTCTCATCAATCTTGTTGTTGAACACAAGAAGCTAATATTTCTATAAAAGAAATATTTTTGACAGAAAACAAGTCATGTTCACGTACTCTATAGAAATTGCCTACTGCGTCTTGTTTTCTTAAGCAATTAGGATAAAGCCAGATATTGATTTTAATAGCCAATGTGTCCCGGAAGCTATTTTTTAATAATGCCATTTTAAAGAGCATAATATGAGAGAGGGGTCACTGCATTTTCTGCGACTTTTCCTTAGTGTCACAAGAACCGAAAAGCAAACGTTTTGTTGATTTTTGTGATACTAAGAGAAGTCATAGAAAATGCGATGCTCTTGAAGATGACGCTATTATGAAATATAGTTTCTGGAATCTGAAAACTACCATGTATGGTTTGTTAGAAACATTACCATCATAGATTATCTATGAAATTTGAATGACTATCTGAATTTGAGCTAAAGGCTTAACATTATAACAAACAAACAAAAAAAAAAGAGAAATATGCTTCGTTGTGAAACTTTTTTTTCTATAATCTTATATTTCAAAAGAGATTGAATGATAAAATTTCATTACAAATAATCTATAATTTTCAAGTTTCTTTGCTCTTAAAGAATGTTAATCGTTAAATGTCAGTATAGTCTTCCAACGTTGGATTATATTCTAAACTCTTTCATATAATAATCAATATTCGAATGTTATAAAGCATTGTAATAAGGTAAATAGCCTGTATAACATATATGAAAACAACTATTGAGCATTATTATAAACAATAAGCATTAATAAAAAGCGATCGATCATATACTTCTCTTTGTTCCTGTTCTACTTTTATTGTTGTTTTTGTAATACTATTCATATCGTTTTTCTCATAAAGCTCTTTCTTGTCAATGAAAAACCATGAAAGATTAATAGCTATTCGATAGTAAAAAAAAAAAAAACAACGTAAAATAATAGAAAATTCTTCTAGAAAAAGTTTCCTGATCATAGCAAAAAAATATATATATATATGCTTTTATAAAATATGAATTTGTTTATTTTAAGTAATTAGAATTGAGAACTTTATATTTATTCATTTTTCTTCTTTTATAAAATTAGATTTATATAATTCGATAGATTTATATAATAAAAAGAAAGTCGGCTTTGAAAATTATCTTTTAATTCTATCAGGGTCATTATGACTATCTATCTGTCTGACTGGCTTTTCTTTTTGTTTTTTTGTTTTTTACATTTGTAATTTAAAGAATCAACTTACAGTTTGTTTGGCATTCGCAGCGATGCGTGATGTCAATGATTTGAACGGATGAATGTCACGTAACATTATTTTGAGAAGGAAAATAACATAGATACACACAAAAAACACTGTCTATTTTCTTTATTCGAGGAAAAAACAACAATATAGTTTGATCGTCGATTGATTTATTATTTAGAAGATATAAATGAACGATGTTAAAAAACAGATGGCGAATGACCTCACAGCACACTTAATAGTTGATTACTGCTCGACGGATTGGCACCAGTAACATCAACAACAACAGAAACAGGAATAGAATGTTTTGTTCGTTCGCTTTCTCTATACTTTGCCGACAGATCGACAGATAGATAGATGGATAGAAAGAAGACAATTCGAGTAGTTGCATTCAATAGAGAAAGCAAAAAGAAATGTCTCTTTCTATCGTCGTTCAGGAGAGAAGGAAAAAAGAAGAAGGAAAAAAACCCAAGACAGATTTGTCCCTCCTTCGTTATTCGCGCCTCTGCTTTTTCTTCTCTCGATGCATCAAAGCCTGATGAGATAGAGCGACGACAGATAGCATAAATATATATATATACGTACGCCATAGAGTTGCTCTATTATCATTATTTTTTTGTTGTGTCAGAATATATTTCTCGTTCAAAACACGCATGGAGAAAAAAAAACCTTCCATATAAACCATACAGGTTTACAATGCGTGCAATCTGTTTAACGGAAAAGGAAGAAGAAAATAGGAAAATGACGAAGACATATTCACACCTCATAATAGAAAAAAAGCCTCAAGCTAAATAACTAGCAAATTGTACTAGTGACACTTGAGTTTTTTAGTTGTTCATTATTATCAACATGAGAGACAAAACAACAAAAAGAAAAAGATTTCTAAACTATCAATCTGATTTTTTTTTCTTTAATAATCATAATACTTACAACCTCGGCTCGGATACGACCGCCACCCAATCCTTTTTTACTTGCAGATTTGATACCAGCCTACATAAATTTAAATTAATCTAAAATAAAGTTCTGTTTTTTTTTTTTGTTTAATTAAACTTACAAAAGTAACTTGACTGGAAGAACTGGCTCCTGGTGATTCTTTATCTTTGGATGGTTTGGGCGGATTCATGATTGATCTTAAAAAACAAAAAGAAAATGACTAAATAAATGTTGTGACTTGTATCAATCCATAATATCGAGTTATTAAGAAGAAAGAATATGTTCGAAGAATCAATGACAAGTAAACGATTGATTACTCATCATATCGAACACCCACCTACTACCAGCTGGGCAGACGTAATCCGTCAAAACAAGAGAGAAAAAAAAGAATAGAAAAAAACATATATATGTTTTTTTTTTGCTTCTCAGATAACTTAGTTCTTTCGTTCGTGAAATAAACAATCTATGAATAGTTACTACTATACTGTTTAATATGGCTTTTACCAATAGCATCTATAAGAATAATAAAGATGATAAATGACAATCAATCAAGTGTATATGTTTATAAATCGAATAGAAACAAAACCTACTTTCGATAGTCATCAATGACACTACTATTATTACGAGCATCCAGCTGCTGATAAGCCATCACCGTATGCTTGTGTATATGTGTGTGTGTGTGTGTGTTTTCCTTGTTTTGTATGATTCAAAGAAAATTGCCAACCGTTATGTGCCTGCGTATGTGTCGTTTGATTACACGCTCCTGTCGCCCGGTTCTTTCTGTTGTCGCTGCTACCATGAAACGTTTTCCTCCTCTCAATACATCGCAACAACGTCGTTCTTTCATATACGTAGTATAAACGAAGAAGGGAAATCTTGAAAAACCCCCTTTTTTTTTCTCTATCGCGTCTTCTTCTTCTTCCTCTTCTTCTTCTTCTTCTTCTCTTTTCTTTCTTAGATGCATAGCACATTGTGCACCGTTCGGTGTTTGGGTATGATCAACAAAATAAGCAAAAGAAAAGAAAAATGATGATGACAAAGAAAAAATTAGAATTAAAAGAAAAAGAAAATATGACGAATATAAACTTATTCGTTCTTATCCTTATCTTAAAGTTTTAGTAAATGAAAAATTTATTTTTGTTTTTCATATTACGACATAAAAACAATGGCAACAATAAATAGAGAGAAAACAAAGTATAGATATAATTTTTTATTCGAAATTTTTCTTATATTTTTATATTAAAGAATAGACGATGAAACAGAAAAAAAAATTTCATTTGCATATCAAGGTTTGGATTCAATACCTGATTATTTATTACCACGTGATAAACATATGATTGAATATCTTGATCTAACAGAAAATAATTTGGATGATTTGCGTTTTCTTATTGATATTCCAAATTTACGAACATTAATTATTGATAAAAATCGTATAAATTCAAATGTTAAAATACCTCATTTAGATATGTTACATACACTATGGATAAATCATAATCAAATAACAAATTTAAGTGTATTTATTCAAACATTAGCTATTAATTGTCCTCAACTAAAATATTTAAGTATGATGAATAATCCTGCAGCACCAAGTTTTTTTAATGGTGGTTCTTATAAACAATATGTTGACTATAGACATTATGTGATCAGTCAGTTGTCACATCTCATTATGCTTGATGATCGACAAGTATCACTCGAAGAAAGACAAGAAGCTGAACGTATTTATACACCTATGACGCTTACGCGACGAGAAAGATTTTCAGTTAAAAATCGAAGATAAAATTTTAACATCTAATTCAGAATAAAAATACGAAATTAGTTTGTGTTTTTTTTGCTTAGAAAACTTACGAAAATCAAAATATTGTTTAGACTATATACAACTAGACAAGTAATTGTTGTATATACATGTACGGCTTTTTTTTTTAAATGAATGTCAAATAATGATAATAAAATGTATCAAAACAATACTTTATTGTTACGGTTCGTAACTTTCATTCTTAGTTAACATGAACTATTCAATTCTATATAACAGGTTTCTTGTTTTGACTCTTAAATAAATATTTCTAAATGATGATGGTTGTGCATAAGATAAATAAATAATAATTCAAATTCAAATAATGAACGCTATCTAATGTAGTATTTCTAATCGATATCGAATGTTTACAAATTTGAAATAAAACTTATCAATGTCAATTACCATCTAAAAATTATCTTTTTTTCTTATTCATCTATTGAAACTATAGAGTATAAGAGAATTTCTATATCTTCTGACTATTCAATTTACAAATTTCTCTCGTCTATTAAATTATCGAAAAAAAAATACAAATCACTTGTTCAAGTACTAAAAATATTTATAATACTTTCATTATTAAATCAAAACGATCAAAAACAAAAAAAAAAAAAAAAAAAAAAAGCGAGAATCTTTCTCGGGAAATTCTACAAAGACAAATAGAATCTTCTTCTATCAGAAAAAAGAAGAAAGTACGAGGTCGACTTGTTCTGTCAAGATAATTATATCAAATTATTTTTCCCCATATACATACAAAATAAAAAACACACGTGTATATCTATACAACAAGTGATCTGTCTCGATTTCGAGACGATGGCTTTCATTCTATCTTCACAATTATGTCACGTCTGTTTGCATTGTCAAACAATGCGGATGAATATACAAAACATATATGTATACACCTGGAGAACGTATGTATTTATACGGACCTCGATAACAATTTATAGTAACATACATAACAGCAACAACAAAAAATAAGTAATAACCAGATATGAGATCTTTATATATATCTTGTCTTATATAGAGCATTACGAATTTGATATGATAAGGATTTACTGATTATGATAAAACTGAAGACACAAGAAAGTATTGATTTTGTACATATATATATATATACTAAGAATGATGAATAATAAACGTGAAGTTTTTTTTTTTTGAAATGAACCGATGATTGTCAAGTGTGGAAAGAAAAATAAACAAGAACATACCACAAAATAATATTGTCTATAGAAAATGATAATAAGATGTAAGTTAATTGTTGAAAAAAAAAAATAAATGGATGACAATAGTGATAAGTGGTCACGGACTGATGAACCAACAAGAGACGAAAGAATAGCCATTATACCAAAATATCGATGATGATGGCAATGTTAGTATAAAGAACATCTTCATTCTTGCTCTTACACTAGAGCGACAGCGTCTCTGCTGTTTTGGTAACACCACGGTGTTTTATTTCTCGCTGCTGTGCAAGCACACACACATACACGCACATACAGGATTGATGCTTACTTGGCTGCTTGCTCGCATTTTTTTCTTTTTTTGTCGTTCGTTTCTTTCTTCCTATACTATATGCTATTGCTTGCTTTTCCTTTCTCTCTCTGTCTTTTTTTTCCTCATTTTCTTCTGTATCTCTTCTCATGAGTACGCTATTCAACGAGAAACGCACATAAGCAATACACAATCCCTCGATACAAATAGAACCCTGGATTTCTTGAAGGATTTTCTATTTCTCACTCTTTATTTCCTCTTTTCTGTTATTGCATCTGCGTGCAACTACAAAAGATAGAGTGAAGGAAAGCGTGTTTATGATGTCTTCTCGATTTCGTTTGCGCGTGTAAAACTGTCATCATAGAAGCTTTCCATTTCTATCTCTATCTCATCATCTTACAATATGTATGACATCTGTATCTCATCGTAGTCAATCAGTTATGAGTATGAATTATAGAACAAAATTTTGAATAAGCACGACTTGTTATTAATATATCCTTGAATTAGAACTAAACGTTTATAATTGGTCATCATTCTTGACAATTTTTTTTTAGGGATATTCATCGTTCGTTTTATTATCAATGGCGAGTCAAAAATGAACAAGAAAAGAATAAAAGAGGAGGAGAATATAATGACCTTCAATACTAAACAACAACAACAACAATCATCATCATCATCTTCATCTTCATTGGTGCCTCGAAATCGAGGCATCATTCTTTAGTCTTCTATTTTCTCCAGGCTTGCTGTCGATGCTGCCAGACATATAGACAAAGAACAACACTATGTGCTGTGTCATGCATGGAAGGACCTTGTAAAGGAAAAACGAGAGACAAAGACAGAGATCCCAATTATCTGCGTGTTCTCTGCTTGCTTCCTCACTTTTTCTGTCACTTGTCGTAGTCAAGGTCATATTACTATCCTATTAAGAAGAATAGATAACAATGACAATACGAGAAATGAAAAGCAAAATAACAATGAACGACTTAACTCAATCAATACAATCGGAGATTTCACGTACCATTGATCAATGCAAACATACACCATGTATATATATATATTATGCTTATGGAAAAAAAGATATATATATATATATATATGAAGATGAGCTAATAGCGTGACTTTTTGTACTTGTCTTATAGATTTCTTTCTTTAATGATAGTGTCATTGATAAGGGTATATTTTAACATGCATTTTTATGCATGTGCAAGCTTGATTATTGATGTCATTATTGAAAATCATAATAATAGTAACAACGTACTATTACTGATGTGAAGATTTCTTTTTTTTTTTCCTTTATAAATGCAAGAAAATATATATAGTTAGATCTTATTCGAAGAAATAGGAAAGATTTACTTGATTAAACAACTGAAGATTTGTTTTCGAAGAGAAAACAATAATAATCAATGTTTGACTTTTATATAGAGTCAACATATTATTCTACGAAACTATATTTAACATTTTGATAGAAAAACATCTTGACATAGACCTTTTTGTTTTGTCATTGTCTATTAAGCATAAACTATATTCTAAACAAATGACATTATTTTTTATATAATGGTTAACTTTCGAGCTTATGTTTCTTTTTTTGTTTTTGAATGAAATAGTTTGAAAATCAGTGTATTAGTTAGTCATGGACTAAAATCTTAAAAATATTAGTTAAACAAATGTTTAAGTCTTAAGCGAAGTTCAACTTCATTTGTAAACTTTGCACTATTCGTTGCTAGATTAATTTCTAACATCAATCAACAAATATTAAAGAATTCTTTGCAATGCAATTATCAAGGGAATTCATGTTTTCTTCGATCGATTCAATAGTTATATTAAAGAGATTCTTTTTCTAATAAATACAGATCATATTATTCAATGTTATGCTCATAAATCCGAACTACATGGTGAGTGTCGGAAAATATTGATTTCAATTTTGAAAGTTTTGATAAAATCAGTTGTTTTTTGTTTTACATTAAAAATACAATATCTATACCATTCGAGATATTTTTCATCAGATATATAACAATAGAAAATATTTAAAAAATAATTTTTTATTCACTTAATATTATTCTAATATGTCGAAATAAAAATACTATTTTTTTCCAATCATTATTTAATAAATTTATTAAACATCGACGTGCTTTTTCTACGACATCCTCCCATATTGAACGTAAATCCATAAATCTTACTTCAAGTAAGACAATAATAATTGCTGTAACAAAGATTTGAGTATTACCATGAATTTCAGATGATTGAAAAACATCAAAGGATTTTCCTGTTAAATCTTTTATTGTTTTTCTATTTGAATCAAAATTCCAAAGACCATCATCATTTTGTTTATTTATTAAATATTGAATAAGATCTTTATCATTCATTGATTGAATTTCATCTTGATCTCTATCTCTATCTTTCTTTGGTATACTATTTTGAATAAGCTTAGATTCATTTGACAAGGTTATGACACCATTTTCTTTAGTTGTACTGAATTGCACAGGAATAGAAATACTACGATTAGATTGAATGTGCTCAAGAGAATCTTGTTCTTGATAATAATTCATATATTTTTCATTCGTTAATGTACTTATTTTAGTTAATGATTGTTCTCTTGATCTTTCAATATGGATCAATTTATTTTCTAAATCTATTGCTGAAGAATATGAATCAACATCTTTAATATCATTTAAAACTTTTTCAGATCTTGAATCAATCGATTGATTATCAATTGACATTTGTATTGGTACTTCACGTATAGCTATATCTTGACTACTATTACTAAGATATTTTTCAATACCAATAAATACTGTATATCGACTGAGGATATTATATTGTAATGATAGATCAATAATACGTTGTTTAATATCTTCTTTTGTTTGAATAGTTTCATTATGTTTTTTAGAATCACCATCAATATCTGCAAAACGTACTTGTTTGATACATTTTCGTTGCATTTTACAATATTCTAATTCAAGTATTAATGCTTTAGCAGCAAGACGTGCTATCATTTTAGTATTATTTGCTATACGATCAGCATCTGTTATACCTAAACGATAATAACTTTGATCAGTTCGAATTTCAATTGAAGATTTAGAATTTAATTGTATGACTTGATTATTTGTTAGAGCATAGATAATTAAACGATCATTCATATAAGTCGGTGATAATTGATTTGGTACATTTTGTATAGGCACACCGAGATTCCATTGAATACGAATATTTGTAATACATCGTTGAATTGCTTTTTGTAATTGTTCTTGAATATAAACATCAATATGAGTATTTGGTGGAATAAAAATAAATCGACCATTTGTTGTTCGTGCAAGACCTTTTACAAGAGATCGATTTGGTGATACACCCAAACCAAATGAAAATATTCGAGTTGATGAAGCCATCGAACGACATAATTCTAATACTTCAGATACATTTGAAACTTCACCATCAGTTAGAAGAAATACTTGACGAGCACGATTAAATTGAGGTGGATGACGTTCAAGCCATTGTAAAGCTGCTAGCTACAAAAATATATAGATTTTAGATATTTTTTCCATTTTTAATATAGAATAAGAATGAAGAAAATTACATCGAAATAGAATAGAAATTCAAATAACTTTATTCTATAAAAATATAAGTATAATATGATATGATCTTTACAAATGTCTATATTATCTTAATAATTATATGACAAAAAAAGTTTATTAAGTACTCAAGTGTTTTATCAGAGAACGAAAAGAAAAGAATTACTTCGACCAATGTCTATCGCTGATGATGTTGGATGTTATCAAAACCATTTCATAAATGTTTTTATATCCATTTAATAATAGCACTAATTAAAAATTTTGCATAGTAACGAATTTCTGCATTCAATACACAATTAAAAATTACACATTAGTTAGAAACCATATGATGCATCAGAATGTATTAATGAGAGAAAATATTCTATTCTCGGATGATGTATAATTCTGTATTTTGATTATTGTTACCATCATCTAACAAGAGAAGTTCTCCAACTGATAAATCGTTTTTGAGTCGCGGCTATGTGAATTGTGTAAACTCAAATGAGCTATGAAATAACTTGAAAACAATTCGTACTGTTAGCTTATTGTTATGAAAATACTTCACTTTTACCGTATTCTTTTCTGATTTTCGAATATCGACTTTAAATTTTGCATACAGACGAATCTTAATGAGAGTAGTTTTAGATCTTTTCATGTTTTCTCGTAAGTCAAAGCAAACGATTATCCAAATTAAAAGAAAAAAATTTCTAATCTTACAAAGTGAATATTATTGGTCATTTTGAATGAATTGGGAGCCACATTAGAATCCAACGTCTCTACTACAGTGATAACATGTCTGATGAACAGTTATACTTATAAAAATATAACATAGATGTGCGGCGATCGTGTCGCCAAAGAAAACTTAAAGTACAGGAGTTGAGTAGACAGTCCGGCTAGCAATCTGAAGTTTCAATGAAATTTACTAACACTGAGCCTACTGATGTATTGACATACCAATATAGTTTGGATATGTCAGGTAAATCAGTGAAAATTGATCCAGTGCAGTAAAGGTATCAATGAGTTTTCGATGAACAGTTTACTGAACTTTCACATCCCTATGTTCACCAGAAGACTCTGTTATTTCCACTTCGTTTTTAAGACAAGATATGCCTCTCTAAAATACCATAATTAAAACCAAGGACTTACTATTTCCGTACCACCTAAATCTGCTCGTATTTGACTGATAAATTTCTCAGCAATTCGTATATTAATATTATTATAAAAAGCAGTTGATTCATTAAATAAACAACTATATTTTGCTCCAAATTTAATTATATTAAAATAACAATTAGTTGGAAGATTTCTTATAAAAAATAACATTGCTTCACGAGCTAATCCAATTTTATTTTCATTTTTCATTGATCCACTACAATCAAGAATAAATATAAATTTATTTATTTGTTTATTATTTAATGTTAAATAACAATCTTCTTCAAATGGTGTTACTGCAGCCATAGCAGCATTTGATTCAACAACAACAAATGTATTTGCACGTTTATCAGATAGTTTTATATCCAACAGTATATCACGATCTAAATATGTATTCTTTTGTGCAAATGTAACTATCTATGCATCATGTACAGAAAGATCAATATCAACATGATGTGATGAAGAATTTAATCGTGCTATATATTGTTCTTGATTAGGTCCATAGATTTTTTCAATACGACATCGAAATTCAATTATATATGGTATGGATTGAACATATTTTGATTTTGTATTTACTGATGAAATAATACGTTTGTTTCGAGAATTATATCGAGGTGCAATAGTTGTTGGAATAACAAAACGAATTACTGAATTTTGTATAAGATCTAATTCTGTAACATATGATACAGTTATTATACATTCTTTTGATGGAGGTAAAGCGCCAACATTAATAATAAAAGTATCTTGTGATTTTTCATCTTGTTCTAATAAATAGGTGCCATATTGCTGTTGTTTAAAAGCATTAATATTTTCAACTTGAGCTTCTTTTTTTTCTTTTAATTGTGCAATTATTTCTCGATTATCAATACGAGCTGTAAAACTATATATAGCTGCTTGTTCTTCAATAGGAAAACAATAAACAGCTTCAATAGATGTATATTCATCATTTCGAAATATTTGTGTTATTGTTACATCAGCAGCAAATCAACGAATTGTTGATTCAATATTGATTTGTTTAAGTGGTACATATTCTAATGGAGATTTTATTTTATTAGCAATTCTTAACATAGTTGTGTTATTGATAGAAGATAAATCTTCGAGTTTGATGTAAAATGACCTTGCATATACTTTTATTGATGTTTCTTATCAGATGAATCAGAGAATCGTTGAAAAATAATCATCGTAGTTATATTGTTGCTTTTGAAACTATTGGTTGATAGTAACTGTGTAGACATACTAGATAAGTAAAAATGATTACAACGTGAAGCATTTTGCAAATATCTCAACACAGACAAACTCTATTACGTTGAATTTTGTGATCAGATGTGCCATCGAATTCTCTACAAGAATATCAATGACAAAATATCCTTGAATTATTTTAATGATTTTCTTATAAGGCTAAAATTGAAGAATTGTGTAATAATCGTATATTTCATTATTGTGTGAGAAACAAAAAAACAAAATAACATTGATTATTTTGGATATGACTCACCATCAATAAGTCGATTTTTTTTAACGTGCGCCGTGAAATTCTCTAATACTTTTGCACAAAAGAATCCTTTTAATTATGCTAATGAATTTTTTAAAATAATAAAAGAGGAAGGTCTTCGTGATGTTCTTACTGCTCATTATAATAATAGGTGAACTAGTAGTTTCAAAAATCTCAAGTACCATATCTAAAGATCGATGGCTTTCTAATTCGTCGAATTTAAAACCATCGGATTACTCTGTACGGGATCATGTCAATAAGGGCATTTTTTATCAAAACGCCAAAATATGAGAAGAGTCCAGAGTTGGGCTAGTATGAGTATGGTTTTTGTTGTACTCCTTCGCATAATCGTAATCAAGGGTCCAATACTCTCACAGGTACTCACAGTCCGAACGGCCGGTACTTGCTCAGCTCTGAAAGATTTGTAGAAAGAAATAATGAAACATGCCAACAAATTGATCTAAGTTGTATTTGTGCACTGATAGGTGCTTTTCTTTAAAGAGTTTGTGCAGTTGAAAAGCATGATAGGGATCATATTTTTCATGAGTGTTCAAGACTTTTATGTTATTTCACTTAAACGTTTTCGATGAAGTATATCATGATATCATACAAAAATTGGTTTGAACTAAAAACAAGACTTTTTTGGCTTCCCTCAAAATAATGGTATATTTAACCATTACAAAATGCTATAGTTTTATCCTTTTAAGGCAGGCATAAAAAAAAATTAGTGGGATTTTCTATTGACATTCTTATAGAGAAATTGACGGCACATCTTATAAAAACACAAAAATTCAATACTATAAAACTTGTCTTTGTTAGGCCTTTGCAAAACACTCAATGTTGCAGTCATATTGATGCACTCTATAGAAACATGAGCATTCATGATTTATGGAATAATTTAATATTTGGTGAAAGAAAAGAACGTTTTCAGTATAAGTTTTTCATAACTTTAAGGAGTGCTCATACCCTTTTTCATAAAGTATCGCATTTGTCTCGTAGGATGATAACCATCATGACTGATTGGATACGTTTGTTGAAGACTTACCTACAAAATACTGCTGTTCGACTTTTGCTTTCTCGAGACAACAAAAAATATAGTTCGGACGATAATGAGGATGAAAATAAAAGTGTTTATCTTAAGCCAAAAACTGACCCACGATTAGTTAAAGTTTGATTATTCTTGAATCTAATTAGCTTTTAATCAGTATATGAATATTGTATACAAAACTTTTCCTCAACGTCGTCATGAACTAACGGCATATCGGTCTGATAAAATTTGCTTATCTGCTCGATTTGACTATCCCTTCTTTTACGATTATCATCGTTTATTTACTCGAAAAAGCCGAATTTACGTTATATACACGAAGTGTTTTAGTTGATTGTTCCAAAAGAAATCATCACGTTTATTTTAATATATTCTTTGAATTACGTCCGATGGTTTGTGAGTTATGTAGAGATCTAGATCATACTACCTATTTTTGTGAAAGAATACTAGATCAAACCGATTCAATTAAAGATATATTCTCAAATAATTCTGGTCAAAGATCAAATATAACATCATCATCTATCTTTTGTTTTAGCCTTGGTTTCGGTAATGACAATGCGAAGCAGAATTCTCGTCAAACTTGTGTAATTACACAATGGAGCTAGTCTCGGCAATTATATTCAACTGGACTGTCGCATTGCTCAATTCTCCTCTCGCTGTCGACGACAACATAAAAAAATTCCACAATCAAAATATTGATTAATATTGACACTAGGTTTATTTGTCGAAAAGTTAAAATCCCAGACTAGCATAAAAAACACATACATACGTATTATTCAGATACTAAATAAAATTTCCACGAATATATGTACGATTTATTTTTTCTAATCGAATTAGTTCAAATGATAACTATTAATTCTCTGTATGACTACTGTTTTGCTCTGGCAATCCATCAACACTATCGACATGTCAAACCAGGCTATTGTTTGCATAAAGAAACACAACTACTTTTTCCACTAATGCCATATTCTTTTCACGACTTTGTGGTCTGAGACACAGCCGGCGAGGGTGGGCGATGAGCATCTGTCATCATAACTCTCCATTGCTCGGAGATAAATCTTTTCCTAATATGAGATCAGAGCAAATGCTTGATCTATCCGCATCCTAGCAATCGACTTCATTCTTCGAACCCATTTCCCTATTGTAGACCTTCCTATTTCGAATTGTTCCTCGGACGAAGAACCCATTGTCTACTATACGACAACCACACCACAGCCAACATAATGAAAAGCGGCAGAACGAACAGTTCTTTCTTCTGGCATATTCCCCAAACTACTTTCAATTACCATGCAATAAGATACATTATTCCGGGCGCTTTTTCCCCCTACAAGATACCATGCTACAGCCTACGCCTTTTCTTCTTACTACATGATTGGTTTTCATCAATTAGTGTCAGCTGTCGATTCCGAATAAACCGCTCCCAGCTGCGACCGTTGGCGACATGATAATATGATGTTGGTTAGATGCCTCTCTTTTTCCTATTGATAACAATCATGAAATGATAAAGTTCAAAATAGAAAAATTGTGTGCGATGAAATTTAGGAGTGCTCCAGTTATATTTTATTAGTTTTATCTATCGATGAGATAGCTAAAGTTTAGTTTATTCGCAACAAATGCGCATTTGACCGTTCTTGAATTGCGAGAACATAGAACTACTGCATGCGTCTTCAGCAAGTGCAATGCGAGAAGACATAGCAGGTTCCAACCATCGACTACATTTTTGAGTACTTCGAGCGTTGTCTGCATCTAGCATGAGAGGCTCGATGGGTTCATGAGTGGCCAATTCTCGTCGACTGACACGATCGCAACATAACCGCCAGTTATTCCCAGAAACATGAATTTCCGGTCCATGACAGGTTGTAGGTCTATTNGAATTCGTGAGAGCCTTCCTCGATGACAGTTGTACTTTTGCACATCGCTATTCGAAATATTCAGGAATCGATCATATGCTCTACTTTCATTCGTAATCATGGAATGATACAGAGTCGACCTAGTTTTTCTAACTCAATCTGTGTTACATGTGTGTCAATATGATGGAGAGCTAAGGTATTCCATTTAATCTTCAGTTGTTTTGCTTTATTACTTTTTTTCGAAAAATAGATATCAAAATAGTGTCTAATTCCTATTTTTTTCTTCATTCCACACATACTTCCGTTTTTTTGTGGAAATTCGATTCTGGATTAAAAATAACAGATTCCATTACAATGTCGGTATATAAAGAGAGAATGCATTGTTGAAGACTCATACCTTACCTCAATCACAAATCGTTATTTTTTCAAAGTTCTACTGCAAATCAAGCATCGTAAGTGAATATTCATTGATAGGATTCTTCTAATTATATCAAAACAAAAATGATTATCTTTAGATGAATTCATTGATCATGTTGGCTTTTACAATAGGAGTTCTGTTAGTAATAGGTGGACACAGTCTTATGTGTACACAATGGGTAAATGTAAATCAGGCTCTCTCATTTAATAGACCTACAACCTGTCATGGACCGGAAATTCATGTTTCTGGGAATAACTGGCGGTTATGTTGCGATCGTGTCAGTCGACGAGAATTGGCCACTCATGAACCCATCGAGCCTCTCATGCTAGATGCAGACAACGCTCGAAGTACTCAAAAATGTAGTCGATGGTTGGAACCTGCTATGTCTTCTCGCATTGCACTTGCTGAAGACGCATGCAGTAGTTCCATGTTCTCGCAATTCAAGAACGGTCAAATGCGCATTTGTTGCGAATAAACTGAACTTTAGCTGTCTCATCGATAGATAAAACTAATAAAATATAACTGGAGCGCTCCTAAATTTCATCGCACACAATTTTTCTATTTTGAACTTTATCATTTCATGATTGTTATCAATAGGAAAAGAGAGGCATCTAACCAACATCATATTATCATGTCACTCACATTCACTCTCTTTAGATCAACATCATGTTTTTGTAGCACATTTATGCTGTTTTTGTTTGGTCTGTGTTGATGTTTAGGTTGCGAAGTAAATTCTCTGTCGGAAGTGAGTTTCCAAATCATTATGCGACAAGCGTATTTGTATTTTATCTGGGTGCTTTTGTTTTGCTCTTCGATGAGAGTACGGTTTTGGGGAGGGTCTTAAACTGCTAGACTATGTTGCATCATACTCTTTATATGGTTCCTTGGTTGCCTGTAGGAACTGAAACTAATATTGATGGTTCCATTGTCATGTCAACACAACGGTCAATCATCGGTATCAATGGATTGGTTTTGGCCGCTCTCCAAAGTATCTTCGCAGATGTTGATATATAGATAATATCATTGTTAGAGCTGCTCCCACTGGGCTAATGAGAAGATCTGAGAAAGAGACTGTTTTGGTTTCTTTTAAGATGGGGAATGAATGGAACAGAAAAGATGTTTTCTTTGTTACGCATTCTTAGAAGGAACCTGTTTGTTCTATGAAGCACAAAACTCAGCTATGGGGCCTCTTGTGGAAGATTTAAGATATCTTATTCGCCCTAGATAGCTAGAAAACAATATTTTTTTGTGCTATGCGAGTAAGTA